TCTGCAGCTTTAACATCATTCTTCTGTATCAGGGTCTTCGGAGTCTGTAAATGGCCAGAAAGGGTGAAAAATTATAGGTTATGATTAATTAAGTTATGTTGGAGTACTGCATTAATCATGAATGTTATTTCTGGATATTTTAAAATAATCAACATTTTGCCAAAAGGACTACTCATGAAATCTGTTGGTGAATGCAACAGTTTTGGGTTTGTCCAAAACTATAAATTAGCAAATTATATGACATGGTTACTAGGTTTTCAGTATGGCAGGTTAAGAGGCCAATTGGGGTGGAATCTGACAGATTTTTGCCCGCCAGACACACACATAACTGGGGTCCTGGCTGGGTTGCTATTGCCATTGTTTGGAGCCTGGAGATAAGCACAACTGTAATCAAGTGTTTCAACTCATTGCAGTTGAATCCCACTCAGCACAAGAAAGGTAGTCATTTAAAAATAAGAAGTAGAAAGGAGAGATTATTATCTACGGTTTCAAATTTGCATTTTGGCAACGTTGAATACTTTACACTTGAGATTTTGAATATTTGGATAGGAATATCTTGTTAAGGGTGCTATCCTTGAACCAGGCTGAAATACAAGTGAATATGGAATACATTGAATATTACATCACAAAAATAGGCCATTTGACCCAACTAATCTATGCCGGTATTTATACTCCACGCGAGCTTCCCCTCCTAATCCCCTCTCCCACATCTCTCTTTTCCATTCTCCTTTATGTGTGCATCAAACATCTGCACTGAGTTATTAATCAAACATGATTAGTTCATAAAGAAGATAAAATCAGCATACCAGTGCATTTGCAAGTAGAGTAGATCAAATGTCAAATACGAAGATTATTATTACATATGCATGTCGGGATCATTTTGGAGTGATGAAACCAAATCAAAGAATGTAAAATCAGTATAGCACAACACCAAAATTAAGTGCTTTGAGACATGTTACACAAACAAAAGAATTTTAACATTGCAGCTGCCTCCAGCAGATATTTTATTTGTAACATTGGTGAGGAGATGCTAGGAAACTGTTTCAACAATTTAATGATTTAAAGACATTTTCTCAACCGACCGGTGTAATTCTAGTTGCAAAGTTATTAGCAACTGAAGGAACATTCATTCAGTAACAGTAAATCACTTGTCACACTTCATTTTAAAATTGGATTTTGACATTTAAATGCTTCTCTGTATTGGGATTTTTTTCCAAGTAGAAAATGGTGCTAAAATAGGATTAGTTTAGCAAAGAGCAGAGTGGATCAAAATGTTACAGATATATTAGCTTATGACAACATTTGATCGCGTTTCATTACGGCCAATTGTGCAAAATCAAGGAATTCTTACTTTAGCAATGTTATTGAAAACAAGTTCATTTACAGAACAATAAATTATGACAGGCTGAGACATTTTGGTTTATAAGTACTGTACTTACGGGGTGAAAACTGTGACATGTAATGCGTTGATACATTATTGAAAATTGGTGTATGAATTTGATCCCCACTCTGACTCTCATCACAGTGGTTGGATGTGAAGCCCGCTTGTGGATCAGGGCACTGTTGATTACTACTCCTTCACTCAAAGAAAATCAGGATAAAATAGGTATCCTGCTCCAATGGCATGAGTTGAAAGCATGCCACAAGCTGATTCAGGCTCAACCATTATGAAAGAGTCGGGGAGGAGGAGGTTTGCACCTCCAAATGAGCCCATGTCACCTACAAAACAGACAGTCACTCCATTTTACAGTATATCCTGTAAAGCGCTTTGATATGTCCTTCGTAAAGGTGCTATATCAAAAGCAAGGATTATTATTATTATTTATGGTCATTAGTTATCAACGTAGCAGAATTTTCAACAATGTGTTAATTTATACTTCATCATTTGAAATTTTCATCCTATAATGCATCTTTCTGTTAGAAATAAAAACCTTACCGAACAAATGTTTATTTAGTTAATGGTTCAGAAGATTGACCAGTCAGTACAAAACAGTAGTAAGAACAACTTTCAAAAAATGTTAAAAATGTGCATATTATAGCATTATATTTGTGCGCAAGCTGTTTCTGCAGCAGAATGTTATTGTTTGATTGACCGCATAGTAAATAATATTAACCCTTGCCTTGTCACAGTAGCCCTTAAAAAATAAACAGTCATTCCACTTTTAGTATATGCTGTAGAGCACTTTAAGATGTCTTAAAGTCCTCTACAGGATATATTAAAAGCGGTTAGTGAAGAGAACAATCAGCCCAGTTCTGTCTCCTGATCACTATCCGTTGAGCTCTGTTGAAAATTGCATACTTTCTGCCACTACGCCCCCAATCTCTGGAACTTGAACCGTCAAACCTTCCAACTCACCCCTATGTTTAAACCTGCCTAAAAGCTTACCTCTCCCACTGTGCCCACGGACACCTCTATTTCTTCTGGTGCCAGAGGGCTGCTAGCAGTTCTGAAACTGTATTTCAGGGAGAATTGAGGGCTTTTGGAGAGTAGGGGTAAATTGAGAAGGGGAAAAATTCCTAATTTAACAAAAATTGGAGATAAACATTAATTTAAAAAAATTAAATGAATTAGGCATTACAAAGTCATCAATAATTTTGTAGTAGAGATAAAATTGGTCAGTCACTTCATGACTATTTAAAAAAAACATTTATGGGACATTGGAGTCCTGCAGCTCAGTGGTTAGAGCACTGGCTTTGCAAGCGAGACATCTGAATTCAATTCCAGGAAGGGCAAAACCTTGGGCAAGTTTCCTTACTCCACACGCCTAATAATAATCCTTCCAAAAAACAAAACAATAAAAAAATTGATCATTTTCAATCCACGACTGTTTGTGGGACATTGCTGTGCGCAATTGGCTGCCGCGTTCCCCCACAAATATATAGTCAATTCACTTTACAGTATATTCTGTGAAGCGTTTTGGGACGTCCTCCCGACGTGAAAAGCGCTATATCAAATGCAAGGATTATTATTATTATTATTATTGCTGTGCACAAATTGGCTGCTGCGTTTCACCCACAAAACACAAGGTCAAAACTACTTTATAGTATATCCTGTGAATCATTTTAAGATGTCTCAACAACTTGATGCGGCGCTATATCAAATGCAAGGATTATTATTAGAAATTATATCTTAATCAAGTTGAAAATACCCATGCATATTTGCATCTATTTTCAGGGTTTGTTTTAGAAACAATATTCATCACTGTAAGCAATCTGGAATTGATAGACAAAAAAATTAAATTAGTATAAAATGTTTATTCTGATCACACATTGATAATCCCAGTTTTTCACCACTCTGTATAAAGATGCAATCATTGGGAGTATATCTTATTGAAACAAATAATGCAGGCAGTCGTTTCTTTGTTTGTCTTGATAGAACTTTTGAAAAATATGGACAGATTTACCTGATTCCATTTGAAGTCATTTGCTCACAATTACAGAAAGGCAGAGACTAAAATATTGTGCTGCTACATTCATTTAAAATAATTGGCACTTGCAGCAGTGGAAGCTTCCAATGTAACTGTTTGTTAAGAACTTGAATCAGTTGCAAAACAATTACATCTTTGTGTAAAATTATGCCCCTTGGCATTGTAAGTTTGCACTATAAATCATTATGCTATTTCTGACCCATCATAGCGATGCTTATGTGCATGAAAAGACATTATCAAACTGCTGATGGTGTAGGGAATTGGCATCTCTCAACGAGAACATGTCTTGTAACCTTGACAACCGGTAATTGTGGCAGCAGTCATCCCATAAGCAACCTGTTACCCAGCACTCTGAATAAAAAGCAGTTATTTAGAAATACAACATATGACAAACACTAGGAAGCTAAGTTCCTCAGCAATCTTAGCCAAAAAAGGAGATGTGCAGAGGTGGAATGTCCAGGGGTAGTACCAACAAATTGTTCAGCAACTGTTAATGAAATTCCTACCCTTCAAAACCAGGCAAAAATATTGTTAGCAACAATCTTGCTCAATGACTAAGTGAGTTCATGTTGTGGGTCGCAGACTCCTTTAGATAGGGATCATATTAGGTTCAATCTCTGGTCTGTGCTGAATTAGCCAAGTTAGAGCAGCAATCAGACCACTACATTTGGCTTCAGCACTCTGATTTGAGAAGGAATAATTAGTCAGGATTCCTGCTTCTAATTGGTAACCAGGCACCCTATCTGGAAGACACACACAACAACAACAACAACAAAATTACATTTATAGAGCGCCTTTCACGTCCCAAGCGCTGGACAGTCAGGGTTCAAGACCTGAGCATGGGGTTGGGGAGGGGTAGGGGTGAGGGAAGGCAGAGAGGTGGGAGGGCGACTGAAGACACAATCGAAGAGGAGGATCTTGAGATCAGCCTTGAAGGAGGCAAAGGAGGAAGTGAGGCGAAGGGACTGTAGGATGGAGTTCCAGAGTATGGGGCAGAGAGGCTGAAAGCCCGGCCATCGATGGTAGGGCGGGTCGGGTGGAAGACATGGAGCAGGCTGGAGCCTGCTGAACGGAGGGAGTGGGCAGGTTGGTAGGGATATCTCACAGGTAGAGATATCAGATGAGAACTAAATTTGACTTGGCTGCTTTGACCTAGCAGTTAAATAAATTGCTAACAGTCATGAATCATAGACATGTGGATATCAATTGTATCAAATGCAATTAATAATTGCCCAATTTAATAGAAACCCTCATAGATCGTGTGCTTAATTCATGGACAAAACATCAGCAGAGAAGTCTGGTATAAGAAGGCTCTTCAGCTCATTTGTTCTCAACCAAGTGTTTCCAAGCCTCCAAAACTACAATTTTTATTTGATAAAAATATTGGATGCCATGCATTGCTTTGTCAGACAAATTAGATTCAGGATTTTTAAGAAGTAAGATATTAGTTCTATTAGTTTGGGTAGCAATTTAATCTTTGATAAGTGGGACATTTTTAAACCGAAAAAAAATTGCTCTGTGTACAATTAAAGCAATGAAGACAACAATAATAATTGATAACTTTGTTTTTAGGTCGGTGGCAGCAGTGACAACAACTGTGTTGAAGAAATATTACGGGTCAGTACACTTTTTGTTTTGAGTTATTCTCAATTCAACGATATGAAGTGTGATACCTCAGCCAAATTGAATGCAATAAAACTGATCTTGTTTTAATCATAATAGTTACAATTCAACGCAAATTGAACTTGCATTATATTGATATCATAGATTTGTTACTCTATAGTTCTTTTAATATTTGTAACTGGTTTCCAGAGAACAGATCTGAATTGGCCAGTTTGTCTTTCTTTAGAATTGGTGCATACTTTGTCACATTTATGAATTAAGCAATTATAATTTTGCATCTGATTTTCCATCTTATTAACCTCAACATTTTCCAGTTAAATCATCCGAGGTTAGTTTTCCTAATCCAGTTCATTGGATAACGATATGTTTGTGATGCAATATTTAACAGAGGTTGTAATTATAGGTAAAACGCAAAATATTGCAGATGCTGGAAATCTGAAACAAAAACAGAAGTCGCTGGGAACACTCAGCAGGTCAGGCAGCATCTATGGAGAAAGGAAAGTGAGTCAACGTTTCGGGTCCATGACACTTCGTGGACTGTTCTGACGACGGATCATGGACCCGAAACGTTGATTCATCCTCGTCTATATGCTCCCTCTCGGTGATGTCATCTGCAGACACGGGGTTAACTTCTACATATGTCACTCAATTCTACTTTTCCTCCTCCAGCTTCGACCCCCAGTCCCCTGATGTTCTGTCAGCTTGTCTGTCGGATATCAAGAGCTGGATGAGCGTAAATTTCCTGCAGTTAAACGTCAACAAGACAGAAGCCATACTGTTTAGCTCACATAGATGTCTTCTGTCCCACGGTTCTAACCTCCTCCACCTACCTGACCTGTCCTTAAAACTCTCCGAATCCGTGCGCAACTTAGGCATGAGATAGGGGACTGCCAAGGAATCGAGGGATTTAAACACTGGAGTGAGGATCTTAAAGTCAATCTGCTCAGTGACAGTGATTGGAGTAATTGGGATACAAAGTTTGGTGCGGGTGAGAATGCGGGCGGTGGAGTTTTGAATGAGCGGAATATATGATTTGTGCATCCATAAGACCTTTGATACATTTATTTTCTTACAATAATAATCTTCAAATAATTGTATTTAATATATAATATATAATCACATCATTGAGACGTTTCAAAGTGCTTCACAGAATATACCATAAAGTGAATTGACTGCATATTTTGTGGGCAAAATATCTTGATCACTGACACCTAAATAATGTATCACACAAACTGAGTGGGTACAATAGTGACCATATTCCTGAATTACCAAAGAGACTGTCTACAACAAGCCAAAGTCTAAGGCAAGGTTATCTGATGGGACAACCAGATGCCTGTATTCAGTGACCTATCCCCTGAGCTCCAGTTCAAGTGAAAGGAATTCTAGACCATAGAAATTTACAGCACGGAAAGAGGCCATTTAATCCATTTGTCCATTTATTATAATATTATTAATACTATTATAATAATTTTCCTTTGATTCGATAACCTCTGGAACTCCCTCCCTCAATCCTCTCCATCTGGCTCCCTCTCTCTGTCTTCAAGTCCTGCCTTAAAACCTAACTCTTCAACCACGCCTGTGGCCAGTGCCCACTTGTCCCTCTCCCCTACCTCTTTCTCAGTGTCCTTTCCCGCTATTAGGCGTGTACAGTATAATACATTCTGAAACGTTGAACAGTGTGAACCATGAAAATGGAATCCCTCAATAGTGCTCACCATTGGTACCATATGACAAGCACAAATAAATCAGTAGAAGACAACCCACTATTTATTGTTTAAAAATGCTTAAAAGAACATGAAGATGTACAATGCCTACACATATCTATAAGAGAAGTACAGTCATCTAAACAAACCATTTTGATTACATGAGGAATGCAAACATTTTAGACATTTAAATGAACTAGTTATTTATAATTTCCTCCTAGGGATAGGGAATGGGTTTAAGTGGGGCTGCAAACTTCATGGTAAATTACCAACTTAATGATTTTCTTGGATTTCACAATGGATTTCAGGAAAATGCAAATTAACAGTTCATGAAAAATTGGTGAAAAATTCTTTTTTCTTTTTTCATGGTCCAATTCCAACAAAGGCATGGTTGTGGGGCAGAATTGTGTATCTTGTACTAATGAATCATGATTCACTTAATTAGTTCAAAACATGCAGAACCCGCTGTGAAAAGCACTTTTATAATTTAGCAGACATTCACTGTAACAGTCTGGCATCCCACCACCTTTGATGTAACACATGTTGTTTATGACCTTCATTAGAGAAACTATGTAAACCAGTTTTGACAAGTTCTAGCTATAACATGCTTGTATAGGGCCAACAAATATATTTATAGAAATAATCTTAATTCAAATATGTGTGAACTGAATTCAGTCACGGCACAGGCTATTTATGTCATTATGCCAGCGGTACCTTCGGTACCTTCAAAATGAGACTTTGAAAAGAAATGTTTCAGGAAAGGTCATACGTTTTTCTTTTGGAGAAAAATATCTTGTTTCATTTGATTGTTCCCTTTAAAATATGATTCTGAAGCTAAGGGGCAGCAGGGAAAATGTATTTTTTCTACTTCACAAAATTACTGTACCCCATTTGATTCATAAAAGATGTGTTCTGAAAGAGGTGGAAAAAACATTCATCTATTCTTTTAAAACTGTGATTTGGTGATTTATGATATTATTAAATTAACCAATCAAGTTTCAAAGTAACTTATGGCCTTTAACTTGTACATAGCCTGTGTATAAAAACTTTTTTCCTGTCACTGATGTTCCATTATGACATCAAAATAAATCATCAGTACCTGATGCAATTACATTATCACTTCAACAATGTTACCATCTCGGGTCAGTTATTAATTGATTAAATAAAAATTCTGCCTTCAAATTTAAATGGTTCCTTTTGAAAAATCTCCCTCCGTTGATATTCACTCTCATTTTACATCACTGTGCTCATCATTCAGAACCATTTGCCAAACTGTATTACAAAATATTTCACAATATTTCTGTGAAAATATTGCACAGAAACCAAGATGTATTCAGTAGATGTGAGTTTTGAAGCTGCAACAGTGGGAGCCCCACCACACTGGTGTCCCGATGTGCAGATCAACAAATATGGTTTGTATCCAAGGTTGAGTCCATAATTTCTCACAAAGTAAATTCTAAATTTCGGCATTAGATTGAGGCACAGAGATAGGAACTTCCCTGTAGAAAGAGAAGAACCATTTGTGAGCTACCTCAAGCTTCTCTTGTGGGCCTTTGAAAGTAGCATTGTCTGCAGCGTGGGATAGATCTCTTCACCCACTCTCCAATGAATACTCCAGACTATTCAAAAGCCTAAAGTAGAGATAAAGAAAGAAAATTGGCTTAATCCATATCATGTTTTTCCCATTATTCTAAGAGACATCAGGTTGTAAAGGAGTCTCTAGTGCCATACTTTGTCAAAAGACTTTTGGAAGTCAAGATACACTAGGCCCAAAATTCTGTCTTAAGATTTGAAGCGTTACTGATGCCATTTGGATGGAAAATTAATGCAACCCCATCTTAAATTTCTAGTGAAATTCCATAGGTTTTTTTTCTGACATAAAATGTTCCATGTTATCTCATTAAAAACCTTAATTGGTTTTCATTAATGGGTTAGCTCCAGAGCAATCTTTTCTGAAGCTTTTAACACCAGTGCTACTATATAGTTCTTATTTCTTGGTGTTGACAAGCTACAGGTTCCAGTCCCAAAGAACCATCATGGAGAATTGTACAGTAGGCAGGATGACATACCTGTTACTTTAAGTGAATTTTTTTTTAGCCACTGTAAAGTTTCACCTATATATATATGTCTCTTGGATTAAATGTAATTGTCTGTGTAGCTAGAAGTAGGTCTTCTTCTCAGAGAGGTTTTACACAATTTAATACAGAGGAGACTCTTTAATGTCACTTTTCACCCAGCTTCAAGAAGCCTTTCAATGGAAAGTAATGCCTCGGAACTAAGCTTTTGTTGGCCTTTTTGTTGGAGGCAAAAGAAAGAATAATTGGGACGCATGATCAGGTCACATATTTGCTTCAAAATGTTTGAGTCATTTGGGAATTTGCAGCTGTGTTGCGCTCCTACCCAATTTTCACCCCCTATCCTAGTATACAATGGACCTGTGGAACCACTTTGAATGTTCCCCAGCATCTCTTTGATGATCTACATGCTCGTTCTGCTGGCACGCACTCCTGCTGTTGTTCCTTGTCGAATCAACTTCACATCTGCTGACTTTCTACCACCCAACTTGGCTGCCAGACTCCAGGGATTGGAAAGGTTTCTTTCCCAACTGCTCCTGTGCCATCTCCTAGTGCTCAAAGCAATGACACTTTCCCAACAACTAGGGGCAGATGGCAGCTTTCAACATTGGCATTCAGGATGGGCAGGCTTCTCTCAAAAGTGCACGGGTGCAGCAGGCATGTTCTCTGGCTACATGGAGGAAGCTATGGCGTACAGCGCGTGTCAAAATTCAAATAATTTGTTAGACAGAGGGTGGATTGAATCACTTTGTGCTCCAGGCTTGGGTAGCTGTTGTAAACTGATATTAACTCTCAACGTTTATCATATGGCTTCCCACTGTCAAACTGAGATGTCACCGAGTCTTATGAAATTGGTCAATCGAGATCTAAAGTTTTGCTTGCTGTCATTCACTAGGTTATTTTCATACAGGTAATCTTCTGTTTTGCCTCTCATGGTTGATTCCATTGTTTTCAAATTATTGAGGCCAGACTGACTGGTCTATAATTAACAGATTTACCTCTCTCATCTTTTTTGAATATGGTAACCATATTTGCTTGCTTCTAGTCTGTTGTATTTCCCAGAAGTGATCGATTTTCTCAAAATGTCTGTCAGTGCTGCACAAATCTCCTGCTTTGGTCTCTCTAAATATCCTGGTCCATCCATCCTGGGGAATTTGTTGGTTTTTAGGCCCTTGAGCCTATCTACAAGTAAATCGACATAGGTGAAATGATAAAC